CAGCCCATGCATACATGGCTGCATGCATATGCTGCATATGGTATAAGAGACATACGTGTGCATTTGCTTGTATAGGTATGCGTGCATGTATGTATGTATGTATGTATGTATGTACGTATGTACGTATGTAGGTATGTAGGTATGTAGGTATGTAGGAATGTAGGTATGTAGGTATGTGTGTATGTATGTATGTACGTACGTACGTATGTATGCATGTCCCATCGAGCTTGACCCAACCCATGAGGAACGTGATGCTCTATTGCGTCCTCAGCAGCATCCTGCAGATGATGCGCCGCCTGGAAGACCCGTCGCAGGAGGATGTGATCCAGCGTGCCAAAGAGCTCGGGCTTACGGAGGAGTCCACCTACGTGTACCTCCGCTGGAGTCCCGAAGCGAAGGCTCACGTAAAGGATCAAATGGATCCCTTCGAACACACCGTGGCAGTCCAGCTGGTGGAGAGGATGATGGGCTTCACAGCCTTTCCGGATGTGGTGGGGCGGTTTCACGCGCTACGTCCGTTGACAGAGAATCTGTCATCGGACGTGATCCCCTTCCTCCTGGTCCTCCAAAATCGGTCAGAAGCCAGTCAGGAAATGTACAAGATGATGCGACGCCTCTGTCGCAATGCAGCCACCCACCTGGTGGCAATGACCATACGCCCGTCCAAATTGGGGCGTTCTCCATTGGCCCAGCAGGTGGAGCGCATGGCCCCGCAGCTGTAAAGCTGGATCCTTCGAAGGTACTATCCCTTAGACTAATCAATAGGAGCTCCCACTGCTATGCCAACGCGAGCATTCAAGCCCTATTATGGTCTATAGCAGAAACTTCGGGTATCTCGGATCCAGCACAGCCCGTTCCGGTAGCCGACCGACGCCTGAGCAGACTTTTGCGATGGCTCTGCAGAGGTGAAGTCCATGCCGAATTGTGGACCCTCAAACCCTGGCAATCTTTAACCGAGACCTGGAACCACCCACACCAGCAGCATGACGTAGCAGAGTTCTTACACTTCCTCAGTGATGCCTTCTGCACCCCTGCAATGTTTGGATCATGGAGAGCAGTGCAAGGGTCTGCCTCAGCAGTGCCGCAAGTCTTGGACCAGGGTTCGATGTGGCCCCTAATCCTGCCTGCCCCCTTAGATGCTAGCCTCCTCCCCGATGAAGACTACACTACCCTGCAACGCCTCATTATCCTGTGGCGCAACCAAGCATCGCGCCATGCAGTGTGCGATGCTGCTTCTTTGCCGGAGCTTTTTCCTGTGCAGGTCAATCGCTTTGATCATGCAGGCAACAAAGTCCACACAGCCATTAGGACGAGCGAGGCAGTCTATGTGCCTTACTACACAACGGAAGGCATCCATACTTCCTCCTGCAGATACTTGCTGTCAGCCATTATTTTTCAAAATGGAGCGTCCAAACTGCACGGGCATTACCGGTCAGCTTTTCCAAGACATGGTAGGCTGCAGTTTACCACAGATGACCAAATGTGTGCACAAACAGTGAGAGAGGGAATGGAAGGACTTGTACAACAGAATTCGTATGTGTTTCTTTTGCGAAAGTGCAACAACTAACTTAGCTGCCTTTTTATTTTCACTGTTTAGACTATCTACCTTTATGGTTTCCTTCATACTGCAGCCTGTTGCACCATGTACCTTGTCTCAGAACAACTGAGACCGGGCGATCTTCATACGAAGTGGCCCTCATTTCTTCTGCATTTAATCAACGATAAGTGCTACCTGCTCCCCTGTAGTCACCGTTTCTACCCGCTGCTTATGGGGCAAATTTGCCGGGCGGGAGTCTTTTCGACAACGCTGGTTTCCTTACTTGTTTTGGTCAGGACTATCAGGGGAGCACGCAGGTTCCTGGGTGCCTTCTGGCATGCGTCCACAGAGACGCCGGCTTGGACCGCCAATAGCATCGCGAGACCCTCTTGCGGCGAGCGTGAGTGAGTGAGTACGTATGTAGGTGTCTTGTTTTTGCGCAATACTGAGTATGTATAGTATAAATATACATATCTATCTATCTATCTATCTATCTATCTATATGTATATATATATATATCCATATATAGATATATGTATCTATACACATATTTAGATACACATGCGCACGCACCAAGACATCTAATTACATGTGTTTCTCTCTCTCTATATATATACACATATAATATGTTTGTCTGTCTGTCTGTCTGTTTGTCTGTCTGTCTGTCTGTATGTCTGTATGTATGTATGTATGTATGTGTATCTAAATGTCACGACATAGCATGCGTTAGCTTGCAGCTGTGAATGTAATGTTGCAATCTTTTTGAGGCTTTTAGCTCTATAGCGCTTTCACAGAGTTGGAACTCCCAGCGCTCGAGAGTAGAGTCTATCGCGCCGATTCGATCCACAGCTTTGCAGAACAAGGTTTTCGTAATTTGCTACGGCATAGTTCTTCTGGAATGCTCACACTGCTACCACCACTGTTGCCGTTCTACTCCGAAAATATTTTGCTTGCTGGTCTTATTGGTCTTGCTGTTGTGGCTGTGTGCTGTAAAATGCCATGTGTAGGATCCTGCTATGCAAAAGATCTTGTCCACTGTAGCGACGCCAGCATGTTGTACTAGATGCCTTCTGTGGCAATACATAGTCATCCTGACATGGTTCGCTGATTTATAGGCCATGGGCGGAGTGCACTTCCCTGTCTCGAACCAGACTTTGAGTCTGTGGGGTTGCATCAGTAAAAAGCCTGCATGCGCACAGACAAACAAACATACGCACACACACACACACAGAGACACGCACCTTTTCGTATCATTTCTTGAAAACATTTAGTCTCCATCATTCCTGTCACTATTGTATAGGGTGTGGTGCTGGCCGTGTCTGAGGTATCGTACCAGTAACACATCGCAGCTGTCAGTACTGATTAACACCTAAAGGCCCCGACCATGTAACGCGCTTCATTGCAAGATCATGTTGTCGTCTCAAAGCGGCACACTTTGAACTTGTCCGTCCCTGGGGCTGGAGTCCCGATCCGAGAAGTCGTTGAACCCAAGTTGCTGCAACCTCCGCGATGATAGCTAATGACTTCGTACCTTTTCTCTAAACCCCTAAACCCTAAACCCCTAAACCCCTAAACCCTAAACCCTAAACCCCTAAACCCTAAACCCCTAAACTCTGAGGCATCCGGAGAAGATGCCTTTGTCTGCGGAGGCCTTGCAGAAATGGATGGACTGGGCTGCAGTGGTGCCTTGGCCCTGACCGGTACGTCTGCAAAGGGGTTCAGGGTTAAGGGGTTTAGGAGTTGAGGGTTTACGGGTTTGGGGGTTTAGGGTTTAGGGGTTTAGGGGTTTAGGGTTTAGGGGTTTAGGGGTTAGGGGGTAGGGGTT